GCTGCTTATTTATAAAATAACATAAAATTCTTTTATTGCATAGAACAACATTGCGAAATTCTTTTTATTAGATAACCACATATGTCAAAAGGCTTTGGAATGTAATAAATTTATTTCACTTTGGTCTCGTAAAATTTCCGACAGATGGGCATGACACCTCTAATTCTAGCTGCATCGGCAGGCCGCGAAAAAGTTGTCAACATTCTAATCCGCGAAGGTGCGGCTGTTAATGCAAAAAATAACGAGGGGCATTCGGCTTTGCAATACGCGGCGTCGAAAAATTGGCATCCCATCTGCGAAAAATTATTAGAGAACGACGTGGACATCAACATTGCCGACAAATACGGTGCTACGCCGCTTCATCGAGCCGCTTCCAAAGGAAACATCGAGATTGTCAAGCTCCTACTTACAAAGGGCCGAAATTTGAATATCGGTAATGAAATTTGACCAAAGATAAAATAGCAGAATATTTACAAATTCTTTTTTGCTGACAATTTACAGATCAACAGGACAGGTATGGGAATACAGCTCTACATATGGCGTGCGAGGAAGATAGGGTTGAGGAAGCCAAACTGTTAGTGCAAATGGGAGCAAGGCTTGAAATACAAAATAAAAAGGAGGAAACGCCTTTCGACTTTTGCAGTCGAGCCCTTGCCAATCAGTTGAAAGAAATTTCAAATGAAAATTAACGATTTGAAACTGTTTTTTTTTTTTATCACCACCAATTAACACTGTGATAATTGAAATGTGAATTCTCGCATTGAGAATATTGGGATTTTTAAAAATAAACATGACACTTTTTTGTAAACTAAATATTTCTTACTTATATACACGTGGGTGAGCGAGCAAATGATTTCCATCGACGGGCTCGGGCGAAAAAATTCATTTATCCCGAGCTGTACCGAGTTGATGATTTTTCAATACTTCCTCCTCCCCGAGAGAGAGAGAGAGAGAGAGAGAGAGAGAGAGATGGAGCATCAAGCGTTTTACATCGATTTTACCAGCAAAACAAGCGAGATGACCATTTTTCCATCGTATAATAGCACTCAATGGCAAAACAACCCGATCAAATATTACAACGAAACAAGGTTTACCNCCGAGAGAGAGAGAGAGAGAGAGAGAGAGAGAGAGATGGAGCATCAAGCGTTTTACATCGATTTTACCAGCAAAACAAGCGAGATGACCATTTTTCCATCGTATAATAGCACTCAATGGCAAAACAACCCGATCAAATATTACAACGAAACAAGGTTTACCTCGCACATCTAGATTTTCTCTGTAGGATTGGATTATACAAGTAGGCTTTAAAGGTATACCTACGCTCTACACCAAAGACCCTAGCACGGAGAGCACAGCGGGTCATCCTCCGGGCCAAGCCAACAGAAATCTAGAGGAACGAGGAGGGTAGTGTACCAAACACGTGTACACATTAGTAGCCGGCAAGTGTTGGTAAAATATCTACGGGGTCGAGGATGGGTTGTATGGCCCAGTGCAATTACCGCCCTCCAACCTACTCCCACGGAGCCCTTCATCCGCGGCACGCACTTTACCAGCAGTTATTGCCTACCCTCGGAGGAATCCGGCCGGGCTGCTTCTCTCCTCATCCTGTATTATCTCGTGGGAGTGATTCATGGGACGGCGTTGGTGGTGGCCAAAACTCTACTCCCGCTGTTGGTGCTCTCTTTTGCGCGCGCAAGGGTGAGGAGAAAGGAGATGTTGTCCACGATTCCTCGAATTTTGCGACTCGAGTTGTTGAATGTGGCTGATGTAATTTGCCAAAAAAAAAAAAAAAAAAAAAAAAAAAAAAAAAAAAAAAAAAAAAAAAAAGAAATCCAATAAACTCCTGCAGATTGCTGTTTGGAAGTTTATCTAATCTTTGAAAGCGTACAACGTTGTGTGCACACGGACTTGTGTAAAAAACATGTGAAAGCCATTAGGCAATCAGAGTTCGAGCCTGAAGTTTCGGGATGAAGTTGTCGAAGATACGGATATAAATGAACAAATTAACGTGTGATTATTACGAAGACAAAGTATAATCAAGAAGCTCAAAAATACTTTTTGCCAAAGTCTAGAGAAGACGTCTGCATTGAAATTATTTTATTCGTGCCTTCATTTGCACTGGAAATGCAGAAGCAGTTTAATTTTCTGTTGAACGTTTTCATGCATATATTTAGGCTTTTACGCGGGAGAAATAAACTGCTTGTGTTATTATTGCTGGATTGACAATATTTTTTTCTTTTTGAATCGAAATATTTTTCGAAAAAGGTAAATCACAAAAAAATATAAAAATAGATGATTTAAAAATGGTTACACTTTTT